ATTGACTTCTTTGCTCTGGTCTCCGCAACGGCTTTAGTTTCTGTGTTCCGCCTCTGCTTATTAATGCTCCTGCTCTTGTGTCGCAATTCGAACCTTAAACCCTAAAGCCTCAAACTTATGAAAAAAGGCTAAACCGCAAATCTCATACTGTACCTGTTTAGCCTCTCGGCCTAAAGCGTAGAGCCTAAGCGCCAATGAGCTGTAAGCAGGAATCCTAAGCCCTCTCCCGTGTTTAGGGTCTAGGGTTCCGGGTTGAGGCTCTACAAAGGTTTCGGTCTTCGAAGCGTTTCGGCATGGAAACATCTCTGGCTGTTGATGGGTAAGATCCCTACCACGTGGTGTCGTGGTACCTCCCCGGTCGTGGGTAGTGCCCCTAAACTCTAAACCCTAAACCCTAAACCCCAAAACCCTAAACCCTAAACCCCAAAACCCTAAACCCCAAAACCCTAAACCCCAAAACCCTAAACCCCAAAACCCTAAACCCTAACCCCTCTCGGCCCCCCCCCCACCCCCCCATCCCCCATGAGGAAATCCGAAGCCCAAGGACCAGCAATTCCGAAATCCGAAGTCGTCGCCGTCCCACTTGCAATCTTCGGATCCCTTGTTATGGTTTCCTTAAGTTTAGTGTTTAGGGTTTAGGGTTTTGGGCTTAAGGGTTTAAGGGTTTTTGGGGTTTAGGGTTTAGGAGTACCCCCTTCATGGTGAACGCACGCAAGGTTTCGGGCCCCCTGACTCAGACCCCCCTTGCAGGAAAGACTGGTGAGGCGCCAACCAAGCAGCCGAGCAAGGCCTGCTAGTTGGGGGCAGCCGTAAACCCTAAACCCTAAACCCTAAACCCTAAACCCCAAAACCCTAAACCCCTAAACCCTAAACCCTAAACCCTGATGCGCATGCCGGGTTGATGTTTCAGCTTCTTGTGGGGTTGAGCAGCTCCACAGCCTTCAATCCCGCACTTTTATGTAATGTAGGGGCCGAAATAATCACGTATACTATTTTTATTGGGGGGGGTTCTTGATTATAGTAATTATACCTTTTCTAATTATGAAAGCTCTTATACTATCTTCACCTCAAAAGCAGGCGGCAACAGCGCTGCTTTTGACCCCTTCGCACTTAAACCACGAGGTCTAAGCCCAGAATCCTGCAATCTACACTGCAGGTGTTTCTATATTCCGTTGTTGGTAAATTCACCACTGTAAGATAGTGTGTGAATTCCGCCGGGCCTTCTGTTGCAGCTGCCCGAAACCTGCATCCCACACCCGATGCACAATCCTCAAACCGTATGCAACAAAACCCGGACCCTAGACCCTAAACCCTAAACCCTAAACCCTAAACCACATCCCCATACCAAAGGCACCACACCTTCAACTCCGAAACAGACCCATTTCCTTGAACCCTATCACCCTATCAACTTATCACCCTACCCTGTCACCCTGTTACCCTTTCTCCCTTATGCCGAAGCTGCCCTAAACCCTAAAGGTACCCTTAACGTTGAAACCTCTAGACTAACCCTAAACCCTTAAACCCCAAACCCTAAACCCTAAACCCTAGACCCCTAAACCCCAACCCTAAACCCCCAAACCCCTAAACCCCAAACACTAAACCCCCAAACCCCTAAACCCCAAACCCTAAACCCCTAAACTCTCGACCCCTAGACCCCAAACCCTAAACCCCTAAACCCCAAACCCTAAAACCTAAACCCCTAAACCCCTAAACCCCTAAACCCCAAACTCCCTAAACCCTCGACGCCTAAACCCTAAACCCCAAACCCTAAACCCGTAAACCCCAAACCCTAGACCCCTAAACCCCTAAACCCCAAAACCTAAACCCCTAAACCCCAAA